TAAACATTTCAGACGTGAATATTGAGAACATCTTTGAGATTCTACGCGCCGTTCTACACAATATATAAATTGATGCCGATATTATTTAGGCGGTATATTCATTATACAGCGATTGTATAAGGTGTTATACCACAGCATAGATGGCTACACTCGGTACACTAGTACACTGAAACCACAGAAGCCTGTAACACTCTGTCACTGTGCTGAATAGACATTTCCAAGGTTTCTACCGCCATATTGCAGGGGGTGCAAAAACATTAGGGCGAGCGCGCGGCCACCAATGGCGCCCATACTATTTCCTATTGAGTGAGTGAAAATTACCTTTTGACATTTTGTCCTTTTTCTGAAAAAATTTCTATACAAGCATATCCAATTTTTATTTTTAGATAATCGCTGGTTTTTTTCTGATATGTGGCCGAGATTTCTTGCTAATCGAAGGACAGGAAGTAATAAAAAACGGCGGCTTTTATTGTACAACTTGACCGACGTTTGAGCGATGATTTTTGTACAAATATACAAATATAAACAGTAATAATGGCGGACACCAAAGGACTTACACACTTAATGGACAAATATTCTTCCAAAGATCGGTTAAACAAACGAAATAACAAGAATCATCGCTCAAACGTCGGTCAAGTTGTGCAACAAAAGCCGCCGTTTTTTATTACTTCTTGTCCTTCGATTAGCAAGAAATCTCGGCCACATATCAGAAAAAAACCAGCGATTATCCAAAAATAAAAATTGGATATGCTTGTATAGAAATTTTTTGAGAAAAAGGACAAAATGTCAAAAGGTAAGTTTCACTCACTCAATAGGAAATAGTATGGGCGCCATTGGTGGCCGCGCGCTCGCCCCAATGTTTTTGCACCCCCTGCAATATGGCGGTAGAAACCTTGGAAAGGTCTATTGCTGAAACCACATATACAGCACGTGCGTGTTTGGCTCTCTAAATATACAAATGATTATTGAGTTCAGAGGAGTGTGGAGTGAGGAGTGCGGAGTATGGATTGCGGAGTACGGAGTCTTTCAAAACATAGTTTATTTTTCCTAAAGATTCGATTTTAATGAGATTCCGCGTTTTCCACTTTATGCCCCCATACACTTGAGTGTCTTTCTCAATTTGAAACTTTGTACTATCCTTGGATCCCTAGTTTTGTTTTTGACTTTCGCACTTTAGGACAAAGAAGGTCAAGGTTTGATAAAGCTGAAAGATGTTGAAGAATATGTTTATAATGATTTACTTACACTGGATATTGTTACGCCTGAAAGGTATATATTGAATATGTTCTTGTGGATTGATAACTTATAGTTCTATGTTCTGAAGTTGAACAAGAACCGAAGGTTGGAATTTTAAAAATTAAAAATGCATGTGGCTGGGCGAAAATATCTTTCAAAAAGAATTTAAGCAAAAAGAGGTTTTCATTAAAATGATTTGTACATAAATTTACACCGAATTACATTTTGTACATTATTATACATGTGACTAATAAAGTACCAATTAATATTAAGTTTCACGCGATTGTATGGTTGGTCTATGTGAATACAATATATAGCTTTGTAATAATACTCAATGTTGCTTCTAGGACATATAATTTAAAGGCTGAAACCAAAGAGGAAGCATTGGACTGGTACATCGCCCTTCGTAACAAACAGGTTCGTTTTTAGTGTGAAGTTTCACTTCACACTATTGTGATGGCTGGCGAATTCACACGAATCAGTCAAACAGTCAGTCAGTCAGTCATAGAGTAAACTTTCCGGGGGGTGTATACGATTTATGTTCGTAGTGATTTATTGTACTTAGTCAGTACTTTG